TCATTCTCATCAAAGAGTCCTCATCGCATACAAGCATCCAGTTTTCCTTTGCCAAATGCGATTTTAATGACTCGAACAAAGGAGAACATTTAAGCGAAATTTATTACATCGATGTGTGTGTGTTTGTATGTATTTGTATGTGTTTTTGTGCCCTCATCAAAGTCCAAGTTGCATTTTGTCTAGCAAGAATCCTCTTCCAAGGATCCTGCATTCAAAGATGATCCCTCTTCACCTGGTCGAAGAAGTCCTTTCCATTTGACGAAATTAATTTAATGCCCTTCTATCTGTGTAAATTGAGGTAATTCTGGGTTGTCACACAAACATTCAGATGTAAGTAGCACACGGCTATATATGTACAAACAATGCAAATAGGCAAGTACAGTGCGTTTCGAAGTTCTAAAACTATTTATAAACAAGGTAAAGAACGTGCTTTATGACCTGATAATTTATATTTCAGGAATGCAAATAGAAAATAAATTTCAAGAATATTTATAATCAAATAAAAACCCTTCTTTATGACTTTTAAATTTAAATTTGGTGAACTTGAACAGTAAATAAATTCTAACTTGATAATTTAGATCTCGGAAATACTTATAGGAAATAAATGCTTAAAATATTTATAAACGAATAAAAAAACTCTTTTATGAATTTTAAACATGAATCTCGGGAACATTAAAAGAGAATAAATTCTAAAACATTTATAAAGAAATAAATATACCTAATACAATAATTATTTTAAATTTTTTTCCGAACCCATTACTGACTTTACAGCCACGCCACGCACTGTTCAAATGTGTATGCATTGGCTTGATAATTTCGAGAGACATTCGAGTACATTACACATCATTTGATGGGCTAATGCTTTTCCACTTGACATTTCGTCTATGGCTTCGACAAACACTCCACTCTCCACAGCGAATGAAGCACAGGATGCCAGGCAGGATCCCGGGATGCCAGGATACCAGGACACAGAATCAGAAACAGAATCCAGGGGGATTCCAGGGGGATGAGGGGGTTGGTTAAATGCGATGACCGGATATGGTGATATTTGTCAGAAGTAAATTAAATTGATGTGGCATAAAGCTGGAAAGGAAAGGGGCAGTCGCTTGGACACCTGGACTCATTCGTTCGTTCATACGACTCTTTATTAAGTGAAATTTCATTCCAATTCCAGAGTTGTCATAAAATGCGCACACGCACACACGCACACACCCACACACCCATACACCCATACGCCCACAAACACAGAGAGATATGGCCAAAAAGATACACACAGAAACGCAAATTGATTGCGAAGCTGTTTGGTATAAATTATTAACACTAATTAAATGATTAAATAATTCAAAAAAAAAAAGGAAGAGAGAAGCGGTTGGCAGGGATTTTTATTGGTCAGCAGCCTATCGCAGTGGGTTTGGTTTTGGGGCCATATACCAACCCAACGCATCAACCATCCCGTTTTTATCTTTATCAATTAACGCACAAATTGATTCTGCGCAAATTTTATTTAAATTCAAGATACTCGCGTTCCTCTCCGTTTTCTGCCGCTCCACTGAATTCGCCCCACTTCGGATGGCCTTTTTTCTTTTTGATGATTTTTCGTAATATATACATCTGTATCTGCGTCGAGTTTTCAACGAGTCTGACCGAAAAAGGCATGCCATAATTAAGTTAATCAATTCAACTGAAAGATTAATTTATTTATGGACATAACCCATAAACTTTTCAAGATCTATACCTCAAGTAAATGTAATAAAAACTTTAAAACTCTTATTAATAATATAGAAAATAATAAACGAAAACATTGACTTACCGAATGATGATTTATCTGTAGATTACAAGATCGATTATTCACTTCCCATAAACAAATAATATTCCTTTATAAATGCCTGAAATAAAATAAAAAGTTCATTAAAAAAATAAAATAAATACAAAATTATAAAATAAACTGAGAAGGGATACCATATTTAACTTATGAAATTTTCAAGATTTATAAATGTGAATAACATAAAAAAAAACAATCCGAAACATTGACTTACCGATAAATTTGTATCCATAAACAAAGAAAAAACCTTATAAATGCCTGAAAAACAAATAAAAAATATATTAAAATAATAATAAAAAAAATGTATAGTAAACAAATAAATTGAATAAATAAAATGAAAACCACAAATTCTTCATACAAAAATATTAAAAACATTCAAAACTTAACCAATTCAAGCTTCAAATGGGTAACCTAATACCTTTTAAAGACTTCTAAAGACCATCCGCAAACTTAGGCCGCAAGTGAAAAAACAAACATAGAGTTGTTGATTTTTGACTAAATTGTTCATGATGTATTTATTCTTCTCCTTTCTTTTTTTGGTTGGGCTTGTATATATATATTCTGTATATAGAGAGAGAGATGTTTGGTTTGTATACATTTATATGATGCGAACTGCGGTATTTCTTATTTCTTACTTGCTATTTCTTATTTGCCTTTCTCAATGCTAGATTAGTTTCGTTTTGTGTACGGCTACATATCTATATGTATGTATATATGCATATGTATATGTATCTAGTGGACTAGGAGTACATATGTGGAATTAGAGTAATTTATCCTTAACTGCCATCCATATATGCGATGCGGTTAGCCTAAAAGTTCAACTTACCGTGCTAGGAATTTGACAATAAAAAAAAATACTATCAGTATCGTTACATTTAGTTTTTCTATGTTTACTTGATGGCATTAATTTGTCTGTGGTTCTGTGTGTGTGTGTGTTTTTGTATCTGTGTGTGTTTTTGAATGCGTGTTGAAGTGGACTTAATTTAATTACATTGGCTTAATTTCAATATTTGTTTTATCGCTTTTTGTTTAACCATTACCATACCGTTTTGGCTGTTAGTTAGTTAGTTATAAACTACATAGACATATATCTGAATTGGCTTAGGCTATGACAATTAGTTTTAAGGTTGTCCTTATTTTTATTCATTTTTTTTTTGCTATGCTTTACGAGCAATTTCCTAGCCTATCTGTTTTTTAATTTCACTATTTTAATTGAATGCCACAAATTGAATATGGCAAAAATTAACAAATGCCACGCCCACTCGGTGGGCGTTCGCTCAAAATTGAATTTATTTTAAATGAAAATGCCGCAAAACGGGAGAAAATAAAAAATTCAAACCAACAAATGAGCTCCGCTCGCTTGACAGCCCTCCAATTGGAATGTCCTGTCACAGAAAATACAAAACAGCTAACAGAAAAACAGAAAACAAGGCCAAAACCAACAGAAACAGAAACAAACAACAAATGGCCATTCACGCGCTCAATTACCTACAATCAAAATGCATTTAAAAAGTATTTAAACCTAATTGCCAGTGGGGGCGGGTTTGAAATTCGAATTCGAAATTCGAGAATGATGCAAAACCAGGATGGCTAACGTCATGGCTAAAAAGCGACCGAAGTTTTAGCGCTAAATCGTTGGTAATTCGTTGATGGCTTTCCTTTTCACTTTTAAAGGTATTAACCACAATACTTTCGGCTTTTACTTTTGGCACAATTATATATATTCTACATTCATATACACACTTAACACTTTGAGCATAAAGTACAGAGTATACATATACAACAGTTGGATTTTTGTTTGTATTATGAATTAAAACAACATTTACAATTATTGGCTTTCGTTTTCTTTCACATTTAACTTGGCACAGTATAACAGTTGGTAAGAAAAAGTCACATTTATTGTATTGTATTAACTTTTCTATAAAGACATTTATAGAAAAAAGAGCACATAAATATTGGCACAGTTTGAATAACAGAAAATGTTCTCAAATATATATAAAAAAGTATATGCCTTCCGGAAATTTATATTTTTCCTCACAAAAAAAAAAAAAATAAATAAATAAAACTAATTGAAATTTTGTGGCTCAAAAAAAAAATGCAGAGCAACTAACTAACAAATCGCTTAAATAAACTTTGTCCTTTGCTATTTATACAATTTGTCATTTTCATTTTCATTTGCATTTTGTTTGCTCTACTTGCCGCCCCTCTAATGCCACGCCCACTCACACGCACTATTTATTATTCATAGTTGTGTGGGTGCGTGTGCGTTTGTGTGTATTTATTAATTCCGGTATTCGTGCTTTACGGCATTAACCGTAAAACGCCCTCAATTATTTATGCATTTATCATTTATCATTTAGAATTTTAATTTTCATTTAAATTTTAATTCACTCTCTCTCATTCTGTCGCAACTTTAGTTGTTTGTCTTTGTTTTTGTTTGCTATATTTACACACATAATAATAAATATTAGCTCAATGTTTTTATTTACTCTTGTATGCTTGACAAAACACCATGAACTTTAAGTTTCAAGTAGAGAGGCCCTCGAAAGTGGGCTATGTTTCTTTTTTCCTATGGCCATATGACACTGGCTTTAAAAAAAGAAAGAAAAACTCATTGCAACCCGGAGAGACAAAATGGTCTTTAGCTCAAGAACGTTTTATGAATTTCTATATACACATATGCTAAAGGTTGCTATGAGTTTTCTTTTAAACAGATTACAACTTAAGACAGGAGTCATATGACTATGATCCTTTTTTTCTTCGAAATGAAAGAAGGCTTTTTTTCCTATGGCCATATGACACTGGTTTTAAAAAAGTAAGAAAAGCTCATTATTATGAATTTCTATATACACAGATGTTATAACAAATATATAATAACAAATCCCATTGTAAACTAGAGCTTCAAAAATTTCGATAGTTTGCTATGTATCGATATTTAAAAAGTGTTTACCCTAAAAATAATCGATATTTTCGATATTTTCACAATATTAATACTTTGTCAAGGATAAAATCCCTTTAAGTATCGAGAATAGCAAAAAATTATATCGATTATATCAAGCTCTATTCTAAATTAGTGTCATATGACCTTTATACTTTTTTTTTGTTCTTTGGAAAAGAGTTAGGTTTTTTTTTTGTGCATTTACTTACAGTGTGTGTGTTTGTGCTTGTGTGAGTGTTTTTCCTTGGGTTTTCCCTTTTCCTTAGACACGTATCACTTCACCTGGCGCCGGTCCCGCCTTTGGACACAGTGCATCATCGATGCTGTCCCTCAATCGCATGGCCGCATCCAGTTGGGCCGCCTCGTCCTGGGCTCCTGGTCACATGAATATATCGCCCACTGGCTGCGATTTCCTCGGTGTGGTCGGCACTCCATGCGGGCAATGCGGCGGGGTTGCTCCTCCTGCTCCTCCAGTGACTCCTCCTCCAACCGCCTGCTTTGACTCATCCTCGAAGGTCACCATCTTCTCGCTGCGCGGCTTTAGGGTCACAATCTGCAGCTGAGCCGGCGGAGGAGGCTGCTGCTGTTGCTGGACAGTGGGCGTGGCCGAGCAGAGCAGCGTCTGGGGTGGACCCAATTGGAGGCCATGTGGCATGGGTGGACCCATATTCATGCCCATTCCCATGCCCATGCCCATATTCATTCCCATGCCCATATTCATTCCCATATTCATCCCACCACCGCCACCACCCATCATATTGGGTGAATATCTGCGGGGTGGCGGCAGGGCAAGATCACCCACACCGGAGAGATTGAACTCACTGATGCTGCGCGGCACAAAATACTCCAGATGGTGCTCCGGTATGCCCGTGGATCGCCGGATGGGCGTGTTCCTCTGGAAGGCGGATCCTCCATGGCCTCCTCCTCCCTGCAGATGACTCCTGCGCGGCAGGGAGCTGTACTGGGTGAGCGTGTGGGCGGGGCCAAAGAACATGGTCTGATGCTGGCCCAGTGTGTTCTGCGCGGGTCCCAGGTTCAAGCCCACTCCAGGATCCGCACTGGGTCGCTGTCAGGAGGGTTTCGGCGTCACAGCCACCGTGACGAGGGCCAGCTCCTCGGCCTTGGGCATCACATGATCCTGCACACTGAAGCGGCGCAGCCACAGGACAATTTCCGTTTGGATTAGGCTAAAGCACATGGCCACCACGGCCATGCCCACCAGAATGTAGGCGGAGGCTGTATACAAGGCGATCGATCCATTGGGCGCCATTTCGCCAAAGCCAATGGTTCCCAGCGAGGTGAAGCAGAAGTACAGGGATTCCAGGACACTCCAGTTCTGCAGTTTGTGAAAGAGGATGGCTCCACTGCTCACGTAGCAGAGGAGGACGCAAACGCAGATGGAGATGGGAACACTGGGCGAATTGCGGCGATTTGAGGAGGAGGATTTCTTGCCCTGCGATTGCGATTGCTGCTGTTGCGACTGCTGTTGCGATTGCTGTTGCTGTTGCGATTGCTGTTGAGCCTGCTGTTGCTGTTGGTATAAACCGTATTGATGGAGCTTCTGGTGACCACCACCAGCACCGTAGTGCCCCTGGCTTTTGTTCTTGTCCGACTTTCGTCCGCCGCCTCCACCGCCGATTCCCGAGCCTGAGGCGCCGCCACCTCCTCCTCCTCCGCCGGAGGATCCTCCTCCTGGACCTCCACCTCCTCCGCCACCGCCTCCACCTCCTCCTCCTGGTCCTCCTTTCACCCGCTGGCGCCGGAACAGGCAGCGCATGCCCGCCGAGAGCGCCTCGCCCATGGCGGACAGGTAGAGCAGGACGATAGGAATCCCGAAGAGGGCGTAGACCAAGGCTGCCACACGACCCCACTGCGTCCGGGGTGAAATGCCGCCGTAGCCTGCGAAAAAAAAAATAGGGGAAAATATGGAAAATTAAAACCACATTCGTAATGCATACTTTAATTAATTTTTGTAGGCTTTTTAAAGGGGGTCTGTGAACGGAAAAATGGGTAATTTTATTTAATACAAATTGAAAACATGGAAAAAGATTTTCATTTAGAAATTTTGTAATTTTATTTGTAATATAATATAATTTGTATTATTTAATATTATTTTTACCAATATTTAGTGGTAAAAACAATAAACGATTAAATACCAGAAATTTACCATGCCCATATCGATTTGATATTAGCTTCCTTTTTTTTATTTTACTTTCCCAAAAATTTTAAATAATCCTTTTTTATTTAATCCCTACAAATGTTGACCAGAAGATACTTCGATTAATGGCCTATCCTTTGGTTCAGATTCAAATTCTCAGGTCGACATTTTTATGGCCACAGTAAAATCTCGTTAGCTGGATCAGTGAACTGAACAGTGAAGCCTATGTGCTACGTGATCCCATTCACAGTTTAACAGGCCGAGCTGCCTTTGCTGATCCGTTATCTAATTAGCAGGTCAGATACAAGATTAGCAGGGCACAAGATACAAGATACAGGATACAAAATACAGGATATAGAGATTAGCAGTGGCAGATAAAGTCGTTTGGAAAGCTTTAAAAGTAGCATGTGCATGTGGCACAATAACCTTTTTCGGGGCAGACCCCTTTTACCATTTCCCGATTTTCCAACCTCCCCTCAAAAAAAAAAAGAGGAAAATAATAGAAAAACGTAACTTTTTCTGTCGTAGACACTTTGGCTTTGATGTTGTTTGCCCAGACCCGGTGATTTGGAGCACGGCGAGGAGATTGGGGGATGGGAACTGGGGATTCGAGACGAGACTGGGTGCCCAAGAGCTAAATATGGGGACCTGTGGCCAAAACCTAGGCCTTCCTACCGAACCTATCCCAACAGAACTCGGACTTTCGTCTCGTTTCGTTTCGTTCCGTTTCGCCCCAGACTTTCGGCTCTCTGCAATGAACTTTTAATGTGGAAACTTTTATAATTGAGTAAAATTGTGCGTGTGTGTGTGTGTTCCCAGTGTGTATGTATTAAATTTTATTACAGAAAAAATAAAACAAAAATCCAAACGACAATAGCTAGAAAAAGCAGGAATAAAATCGGAGTTGAAAAACACAGAGAAAATGCTTTTGCAGCCGTAATGTAAAAAAATACTTTAAAATCCCAAGCACGTTTAAGTGCATGGCCGTAGGCCAAAAGGGGGGTTTTTTACGTTGTACGTTGCATGTGTAGGCCTTCCCTTCCACCCCCTCTTATACCCGCCCCTTTAGATCCACTCAGACCCTCTTGAATTCCGTGTTTCACACGCTACAGGAAAAGTTGTTGAAAATTATCATCGTCGCATGGCCATCGTTCATAAATGGTAACAGCCCACAAGGCGGCTGCCACGCCCCCTTTTCTCCCAACGACGGTTGCTAAAAATTGTTAGTGAAAATTATAACATTTACAATATGGCGTCCATAAAATTGTATGTAGTTATAACTAACTAACTAACGACGCACACATGTCGACCAAACCATTTTCCACAGCCCCCCTTTTTTCAACTAGATGGAAGATTTCCAAGGGGTTAAGGGCACCCCCCCTTTTCAGACAGCAAAAACTGGCAATTATGCGTAGCAATTTTCGGGGAAAAGTTTACCCCAAACTGCATGCCATATACACATTTAACCAGAGGTCGGGAAAAAGGAAAGGGGACTGTAAAACGATTTCCATGTTGGGGGATTGAAATTTTCGGGGCTCGGAGATTGAGACTGTGGGTGGTGGGTTCGGGTATGATATAGAGTACGATATGGTTGTAATGGCCAAGAAGAAGGGTTAAGTGCACACGTCCGACGACGACGACATGGTCAGTTTTTAGGGCCTTGTTCTTTGGCTGATTTAGCCATTATGGCATTCTACTCGAGTTTCGAGTTTCGAGTCTCGAGACCCGAGGACCAGTCATCATTTGCCACGTGGCATGTTAAACGGAAACTGTCGAAAGCCACACTGGCCAAAGGCTAAATTATTTCAATAAGTGTCCAACATGAAACGTGATCTGCAGGCTTACATATACATAAAAACAAAAACCCCTTTCATATTGACCCAAAAGGTTATTTATCTAGAAGTAGATTTTATTTAATTTTCAAATATTAATAAATAAACCAAGTGCCGAACTTCCATTTCGCTTTTTTTCGCCCCCCCTTTTTAAAATAGATGTTTAAACATTTTATCAATATGCTTTTACTGGCTGCACAAACATAATTGTAATGGAATGATCAAATAAATCATTGTTTGCATATGCGAGAGTTCATTTTGCAAATACGTTCGTAAACATTTTAATTCACAAACTGTTGCTTTAGCATGCCAACATATTTGGTAAATGAAACTCACTGATTTATTGGCTCAAGTCAGAAAAGTGGTACACAAAAAGAAATAAAAGGGGTTCAAATCGATAAGCGTATGCTAAATTTCTGGTATTTATACCATGCAATACTGCTAATAATATATCGGAGATTCACTGACTTTGAAATGGAAAACATATCATATATATAATATCATGTTTTTTTTTGGGAGTAACTACTTTTATGAAATTGTATGTATGTATATATAGTAAATATATAGTGATTCTAATTAAATTGCTTTACTTTCGGTGGCTGGGCAATGGCATTTGATTTGATTAGTGAAAGTTGAGTGCTGGCCACTGTCGACAAAGGGCAATCCACTGGGGGTCAATGTGTGTGCCCCTCTGAAGGAAAAAGGAGAACCATTCCCCCCTTTTTTTGATTCCTGCCAAGGCTTTTTTGTCCTGCCCCGAAGCGACTGCAAAATCCAAGCCAAAAAGCCAGCGAGAAATATTTTACTACGGCAATTTTCGGGCATAAAGTAATTACAAAATACTCTCCATCATACACACACACACACACAGTTACAATCTTCTTACACTGAGAGAGTTACGGGGGGTGGTTTTTGGGGAACAGTGGAGTGAGTGGAGTGGAGTGTGGAGACGACAAGAGCCTCTAATAGCTAAGAAATTAATTTTCACAAAAAGCTATTAAGAGAGTCACAAAAATTTCCAAATATAAAACCAAACAATGCTCATTGTAGGAGGGGGTGTGGGTGGTTCCAAGGGGGTGGCCTGTGGGTGAACGTGGTCGAGGGTTAGGTGGCCTCCACCACTGAGCTCGAGGTCAAGCAGCAATGGCTGAGTGGGCAATGAGTATTCTTCCTCTCACTTTCTCTGTCTCGTTTTAATTACAGATTACACAAAGAAAAAATTACTTAATACATTTTTTTTGTAAATGTTAGATAATTTTAAACTAAAAATCAACTAAATTAATTTGAAATGTGAAGAAATAAAGTAAAGCGAGGACAGCAAGGTCACACTGGAACAAGAGTGACCATCGTAGCTATTTTGCACCAAGCTAATTATGCAGTGTGACCAAAGTAACAAACTTTAACTTGCATTGCTTATTATTTTGGGGTAATTAAGCCAGCATTTGTCACATAAAACCATATTTAAGTGAGGGAAATACATTTTTTTTGTCATGTACCAAAAGGAAATTGCCCTTTCCTCTTTTTGTGTGTGTGTTTTGCGTCAGCAAGTTTTGAGTAATGAAATTGCGAGCGAAAAACACGCGCGCGCCCCTTATCATCGTAAATAGACAAATGTTCAATAAACAAAGCAAATTGCGGATTATTTTTGCGGGTAAGGGCAGCAAAGAAATATCGGAATAATAATAATGATATGCAGGGCCATCCGGCAAGGGCGAAATGAAACAAAAACATGTCATTAAACGCCCCAAAAACATCATCATCAATGGGCTGGCTGGGATGGTAAAATTGAAGGGACAGAGGACATTGGACAAACATGACAGCAAACATTTTTATGACATGGCAACTGGCGCTTGAAGAATTAATTAAAAATTAAATGGCCTATTAAAATTGTTATCGAGACGCGGCGACGCCGGCAGCGACGTCGATGCTGCCCATTTAACTGTTAAACAAATGCGAAATGCGAAAAGCGAAATGGAAACAAAAGCCAGCCGCAGACAAAATGTCCCACCAACGAACGGGCATGCAGTCCTATCAGATCTCCCTCTCTATAGATATATGTTTGTTTGTTTGTGTATATATAGTATATAGCGTATATGGCAAACATACTATATGCGGACCATAAAACGTTGCATGGCTGACATCGCGAAGTGACGCCAACGATGCTTGAACATGTCAAAACATGCATAAAAATGCGAAAATTGGCCGAGAGGGCGAAGTGAAGTGAGGTTATAACTCGTGGAAAGAGACACAATGAGATATAGATAGAGGGAAAGAGACGAAAGAGAGAGAGAGAGCGAGAGGAGAGAGGAAGTCACTGCCATTCGCAATGGCATTTTGTCACAATTCATATGGCAAAACTGTACAGTTCGCTATTGTTGCTCGGCCATGAAAATAACCTCAGCAGCTTTTCTTCTTCCATGGAAAATTACAAAAAAAAAACACTCACACATATTCCCCAACTTTATTGATAGGTTGAAAAATGCAACGCTTTTATGGCAACCCTAACTTGGGCTATCAAATCTAATGGAGTCTTAAAAGAAGTCCTTTTAGTGTGGCTACAAATTTGTAAACTTTGGTTACACTTTTTTTTTAGAACGCACTCAAAATTCAATCGTTTTATTGGTTTTTTATTGTAAAATATTAAATTTAAACACAAGACGTAAGTGTTTTGGTTTAATCGGATTATAATTATGCTTATCAATGGCAACATTGTTTTGAACCACTTTTTAATTGGTAATTAGTTTTAAAACTCGTTTAATCGGATTATGATTATGTATATTAATTGCTAACAAATGCCATGAATGATTTTTGAATGGTTTTCAAAAACCAAACATTACTTTTCCTTATATTGAAGTATTTTTTGTAAAATAATATAATTATAGTCAGTCAAAAGCAACTTGGTGGCTGCT